AAATCAGTGTCCGGAGACTCTCCCGGGTGCCTTTCAAACTGACCCCCTTTCCACTCGCCCTGACACACAGACATCCTGCGCATGCCAGTGGCATTACAGCATTTTTGGGGGGGGTGGGGGGGTCGGTGGGAGGGGGGTCAGGGCTTGCTCTTGAAAATCAGTGAGGATTAAATTCAAAATATTATGTATCGGAGGGTCGATAGGTAGACACCCGTTGGTCCATTTGTTTAATATAAATTATTGTTTTTACCAGGAAGAGTCAGCAGAAAACACCACATGTATTGGACAGAACAAGGATACATTCTGGTGCCAATCGATCATTTAGGATTTAGAAGTGAAGTTTCACTTTAACAGTAAACATAATCTATTTTTGTCAAAAGAAATATTGCTATTGTTGAAACGCTCCACGTAAAAAAAAGAAAAGAAAAGAATAAATTTCCAAGTTATTAACTAAATGCTGCGTTCTGTGTTTCCTCTCACATTTTCATCCCGTCATGTCTCCGTTAACTTGATCGGTGATCTCATGCGAAATGAGTCACTGTCTCTGAGTCATGGGCTTCTTTTTCTGGACCCACGGACCCCATACAGGAAAAGTACAGCGCCTGTGATTGGTTCACAGCTGATGTGGTTCGTGTGCGTCCATGCAAGAGGAGCTGCCGGCCTGTCGTAGCCTGCCGGCGGGGGAGGAGAGAGGGGGGGGGTCAACATCCCAACAGGGTTACTCCACTGGGGAGTGATTTATATATAAACATGGGATTATCGATGACTGAACCCGAGGATGTTTCAGGATAAACACGGTGCGCTTTGTTAAAACGCGAGTTGGCCGACGTGTATCGCACAGCGAGGCCGGCTCCTCGGCGCTGAAGCTTTTCCGAGGGCAAACATGACGACCCGTTTTCTTCCCCCGTGGAGTGAAATTGTTTGCAAGACGTCTGGTGAACGGGTGGGTGACCAATCAACTTACCGTAAACTCAAGACGGTCCACAGCCACAAAGCTGATGACTGCAGAAACACGGAGGGAGCGGTCGAATTGCTTAAACAGACACAAACTCCTTGGCGGAGGCAATTAAATGTTTCTCAAACTGGTCCATCGTGCAAAAGACCAGTGAATCAAGAACAATGTGTTGGAATGCAGGTGAGGGCCAGCAAGAGTGATCCAGAGTGACCTTTGACACCATATGAAACACTCGCTTACAAGACGTTGCCAGGGATCACTTTTGTAATAATATCAGAATTCTTTCAGGCTTTACTCGGTCTCATTAAATTCTGGTACATTGCTCAGCTCCTCAGCCGAATTAACCACAACAACACTGCCTGGATCTGGCGTGTGCATTCAGAATCCTTTTTCAGGCACGTTCACGTGTCACTGGGAGCGTGTTAGCGTGCCAACGTTCCCGTTAACACCAGAGCACCTCTGTGCCAAAGACGTCCTATAAAAGACGGGACCGGTGTGTTTAGTGGGCGCTGCGTGGGAGCTGCGGAACGTAGTTCTATTTAACATAGATATTTACATAACAGCCATATTTTGATATATTAAACAAAAATGAACACCCATCTGGACAGTCAGCGTTTCGTTGAACGGCAATCAGGTAACTTTCCTCAGCTTCCTTAAATGTCTACATGAATCCAGAGGCATCGGAGCGTTGCAGAACACCATCTACACTAGTGGATTACTTCATGTAAACTCTCCAAGAACTCTACAGTTATACCGGAGTTCAGATCCGGTTTTTCCAGAAAAAAAAAACGATTTAAAGGCCGTACGAGAAGTCAAGCCCTGCAGGCTGAAGGAAGGGGTGCAATCAAACAGGCGGGAAGGTGGGATTTAATCCATCGCAGCCAGGAAAAGCCACCTAATACCCAGCAGTCATCGGGCCTTTGACTACAGAAAGTGGGCATCGAGCCCAAAAAAAAAAAAAAAAAAGTGTGTTTACTAAACAGCCTCAGCAGGTCCCTGTCACTGTCAGTTAGGTGAGACTCTCAGCAAAGCAGGTCAGTGGACGGGAAAGCCGCGAAATCCGGTACGTCTGTATTTGTAGGACAGCAAAAAACGGGTGAGACAAATATCCAACTTGACGATCATGAAAAGAGACGAGAAGGGCTGAAGGTTGAATGATTCAGCCGCTCGTAATGTGGGGATTCTGTGCTTGCTGACGAATACAACACGAACTGCCCCTAAACCTACACATTACATGGGATTGACACAATAGAGGCAGAGAAAAAGAGAGGGGGAGGGCGAGGGCTGAGTGACGCTCTCAGATACACCAGTCAGAACGGTTTCCACCGAAATGGAGCTCGCAATTTCCAGGAACAGAATGAGGTGATGAGACAAGCGGCAAAACGGTAGAAAACAGGGATTTGAATGTGGCATCTGTGATGAATGAATTTATTTAAGCAGAGCTAAAGTCAGTAAAAAGATTAGATATTCATATTCTTCCATGAGCTAAAAGATAGGATTTAAAAGGAGCGATTTAAAAAAAAAAAAAAAAAGTGAACTTGTGTGTATTTTTTCATGAATCCATTTTCAATCTAAGAGGGTAAAAACTTTCTTACAATGCTGCGAATATGTCTCCTGAATTCTAGAAGTTATTGGAAGTAAGTGGAAATATACGCGAGTGGAAAATTACTTTCAGAGAGAGAGAGAGAGAGAGAAATGCATAATGAAAGTTAGAGGCAGCTCACTGAAACGTCTTTTCATCCTTAACATTATCTCTGCACCTCCAGCTATTTGGGCAGGGAGGGGACAGTTGCCAAGGCGACCCACACCTTTTGGCTTGTCTTGTCCTGTTTTGTCAAAGTCGAGGGAGGGAAATGAAAGGGAGGCATCGATAGAAGCAGAGAGGGGGGGGGGGGAATAATAAACCTGTCGCTGGAAGTCTAGATCCAGGGAACAAGTTCAGACTAGCGTTGAGCGCTAACCAACACAACATCATCTCGAATGAATCCAACCCAGTCAAGAAGTCTGAACTAGACGTCACCTTCCTGTTGGACCCCCGCGGGCCGGTGATAAACCCCGGGGACTCGCACGAGCCCACAGCAAAGGATCCAAAGAGGCCGCTAAGCCCTCTTGGAAGCACATGTGTCACGTCACAAAAAAAAAAAAAAAAAAAAAGTCTTCTCGTAGGCTTCGGCGAGCCGCTGCGTCGTGTGGCGACGGCGCGGAGCGCGCGTGGGGGGGGGGCACCTGGTGGGATTTCAGTAAATCGGGGGGCGCAGGTGAACTGGTTTCGGGTTCAGCCCGATCATGCTGCGACTGGAAGAGACGCAGGCCCCACCGGGGGGTCTGTGGCAGTGGGAGACCAAAGGAAGGCCTGTCTGGGAATTAAATGCTTTAAAAAAAGGCATCGCAGGACCGGCCTAAAGATTCTCTTGTTGTCGGCCCGTCTTTGTTTGTGTAAGCTCTTTGTGCAAAAGCCATTAGAATATCAAAGAGAGGAACAGCACATTGAACACAATCCCTGAAAGGGAAGCATACAAGTTTAATGTTAAGTGGGTGGGGTTGACAAAAGTTGTATTTATGTTCCGGTTCTTTCTAGACACGACAGTGTCTGCGAGCTGTGGAGGGGAATAAGTAACATATCAAATTTTGGACTATAGGTCCAGGCAGCCATAACATTGCCCCCTGCTGTTTAGAAATTGATACAAGCAACGCATGTCTAACGCTCGAGCCATAAGATGGAGCCGAACGAGAGTCAAGCTGTGAGGAACCATTTAACTGCTAGGAAGTCCCAAAGCTCTGTGACTTACCCGCTCACCTCATCGAAGCCCAAAAGTGCTAAAAGCGTCCAAAAATACTACGGATGGTTTGAGACCAAATCTGTTGACCCATAATGTAGTAGACTTTGATTTGTAAACTAAATTTGAAAAAGAAAACGTCTCAATGCTCTCATTGTTTTATTCTGACAACCATCTCGCTCTCTTTCCACCTGCTGCCTGAATGCACCGTGTTATCTTCACTGTGTGGCGAGAAGTCGACCACGTGTGGATTCACTGGGAAAATCCGTCCGATGCTCAGGCCAGGAGGGGGTCGACAAACCAAAACAGCCAGGAGGCAACAAACACACACACACACACACACACACACACACACACACACACACACACACACACACACACACACACACACACACACACACACACTTTCCGAAACTAGTGGCTTCAAAGGAAGAAATCATTTCACAGTCTAGTGGCCGGACACAGAGCACCGACCAACACGCCCCTTTTAACACCTCAAAAGAGGAAGAAGAAGCAGCAGCAGCAGCAGCTTTGCCGGCCCGCTTCACCTCCAATGCGTCAATGCAGCACAAAAGAGGTACATCCAGGTGAATCAAAAGCTTGGAGTTCAGGGGGACAATGAAAGGATGCACAAATCTTCATTTATTTCTTTTTTTGAATCCTGTCTAAGCTTGACAGCCATTTAAGATTGATTTAACGTCTGTTTCGGCGGGACTACATCATTTGTCAATGCCTTCTAAAAGCATTACACATCCCTGTTGCCAAAAAATAAACATCCCTGCTGCAGAAATAAACTTGACTGTGTTAGGGTGGGAATAATTATGGTTTGGGTTTAAATAACTCCTCAGTTAAGGCTAGCTGAAGTTTTCCATGGGTGATTTAATCATTGGTTTAAAAGAAACCAGCGATGCCTGTCGGCGAGAAGCAGCAAACCAGCGGCAGTATTCCGTGGAAAAGTCTGCCGTTGTGTCGTCCCTCACAAGCAGCCCGAGCGTCTCTCTCTGCAGCAAAGATAGCTACCAAAACACACCTTCTCACCATCACCTGACTCCAGCACCAACCCGCGCACACACAGGCCTCTAACGCAATACGAAATATAACTAACAAATACAAGCGCAAACAAGTGGCGAGGATAAGGCACTATATCATATGGTTACACCGAAGAGAAATGAAAGAACAATAAATCAAGCGTAACAAACAGGAGAAAGAGAGCGAAGGAGGGAGAAATAAATCTTCCTCCAGTTGACCCGGCAGGTTGGAGGTCTTACCTTAGAGGCCCTCCGGCGCTCCGGACACTCCGGGTGCTGGCACACGGCCAAGTCTTCCTCCTGCGCCGGCTTGTCATCTGAAACCAGAGCAGGCGAGTCAATTAAAAACACCCACAATTCATCACCAAAAACACGGCCCCGCGTCCATTAACACACCTTTCTTGGTACAGCTGCAGAAACATAATGTAGACACCAAGTCTAAAGGCAAAGCCTGTGTTTATAGAAGGACGGAGTGAGAGAGCGACTATGAGGCACAATAAACACTCTTATGCACTAATAGAGGCAGAGAAGCCGTAAATGAAAAAAAAATAAAAAATAGAAGTCCGCTTGAGGAGATTTCTCGACGCAAAAGGTAAACAAAGGGAAGTTGGCGGGGTGTGTTGTCGGGACGAGATCTGAGGGAAACGAATAACAACCCGACGAGACGGGAAGAAAATGAGGCGAATGAGAGGAAGCCCCACTCTGCCCTTTGTACCGGAGTGCAGTCATGGCGGGTAAGCCCGCCGTACTCCACCATAACAAATCACCGTTGTCAAATAAACCGCCGAATTCTACTCGACTGGCTGGCCAACGCTGCAATGGAGGATTGATACAAGGCCGCGTTTACATCTACATCTTCTCCGTGTACACACGGGATAAAGATATCATAACAGAGCCCCGATATTTATCTGTCCTCCTAATGAGAAAAGCAGAGAACACACGTCATGTGTAGGGGGGAGGGAGGGGAGGCACAAATAATACACAATTACTAAATCATTACAAATAGAGATGGGCTGCTCGGATAAAAATAGAGTCACTCGGTGGCTGAACTCGAAGGCCAACTTCAAAACACGTGAACGAAGTTAAGGGCCCCCTGAGGGCCCCCTGAGGGCCGCAGCACCAACACAAGTCACCCGCTTGGCTTCAGCTACACTCACAGGTCAAGGGTGCTGGTGGGGACACTGTAATTGGTGCATACCACAGAGCCCGTGGGTTCCCCGCTGGGATGGGATGGGTCGACCTGCCCGCCATGAATTTGCTCAATGGGGGTAAAAAACGAGATCTCAAAGTCAACGGGCACGCCGGTTGGTGTACTAAATGCCAACGAACTTACCGAGTGTTTCCCATTGAGGCAGAACTGTCCTTAACGCATCGAAACTCCACAGACGACTTAGATCCATTGGGTGGACACAAGCAAATCAATGCTAGTGTCGCTCTGTATCTGCGGGGCGAGTTTCATCTGCCGCAAAGTGGCCACGAAATAGATTTGTTTTAGTAACTTGGAAAGGGACCAGCCATCAGGACTCAAGCCAGACTAAGGCTGCCATTCTCGATTTAAAAACTAAAGGTTATGAAATGCCAAAATTCACAATCAGGTGTTTAATCCATTGTCACGGAGCATTTCGGATTCAACACTAGATGGAAAAATTGAGGAGTCATTACAATCATCTTTTTCAAATTCGAGGATCACAAATCTGACGAGTCACCTTTCAGGCTGCGGTGGCGGCTACTCAAAGGAAAAGGTAACGTTACGTTTTACTTCTCCTTCCATCGAGCCGAGCCATGACATCGAATCCACCGAGTCTGCCGCTGTCCTTAACTCGAGCTCTCAGCCTCTGAAACCCGGCATCCTCCCTTTACTACGCGACCGCCGCGCTATTACTAAAAATTACTTCATCGTCTGCCGAAGCCCCGTCTTCTCTCCTACTTGCTGCTATCTTGCTGACTCTCCCGCTTTCGCTCTCTCCGATGAACTGGAATTCCTGAACTCAGCACTGCTGATTAAGCCAAAAGCAACACACACACACACACACACACACACACACACACACACACACACACACACACACACGTGACAGCAGACAATGAGCTCGCACACTAAAGGGACAGTCTAGCATCCCATCAACGCAGCTCTCTGCTGGCTGGCTCGCTACGAGAGAGACGCTGCCCGGGGGCGAGGACCCATTAGGAACCCATAAATAAGCCAGGGCGGCAACGCCGAGCGCCAAATGATGCACACTCGAACGCACAAGTTGTACTTGGGTTTCCAACCCATGAAACACCACTTCCTCAGTTTGGAGCCATGACGTTCCTTGATGATTGTGGTCTTTAAGTGGAAAATAGTTCCCTCTTTACGGTAAAATCTTCTTGTGTGCTCGTTCAAGTCTATTGAACAAAAATGAGATCATTTATCAACCAACACCTGGCCGTCAGCTTCTAAAATATGATGATTTAGCAGGGATCTGATTCATATGAATTAGGTGGACGCAATAAAAAGATATTCGGGGGTGTATTTCAATCCCCCTATTGAGCATAATTAGTTTAAATTAATTTTACAAAATTCTGGAACTGTCGTTTTAGTTACCGATTTTGGGTGATAAATCTGTCATATCATTGGAAAATGCACACACCGATTAAACTGTAACCTCACAGGAGCAAAGGTCCGCACCTGTACATTTGGGTGTGGGCTAAATATCTGCAAACATTACAACATCAAACTCCCCAAAAAGGTCAGCCAGGTATATCATTGCTGCATCACACGCATCATACTCTCATTCTAGCAATGTTAGGAATGCTCCACGCTTTCCATTTGGTGAGATCCCATCACGGCACACATTCACATCAGGTTCAGCTACGTGCATCTCCTTGCCAGGATCAACGTTGTGAAAAGACTCCTAAGAGACAAACACAGATGGCAGGCGGGACGGCAGGACGGACCGGGGGAGACCTGGCCAATCAGCAGCAGGATCAGCTCATGCCGAGGTGGTGGAGAGACATACATAATAGATGAAGATGGAATGAGGGGACAGGGAGTTCGGCAGGGACGAAAAGGCGGGTTGAGATGGACGCCGGATGTAAGGGCGCCTGAGCAGGAACGCTGAGGGAACAAATACCCCTCCTGACAAGAGTAGATCTAGATATGAAGATCATTATAATTATTGCTGTTGTTATCCGGCAGTAATTCAGTTTGATAATACCGTGTCTAGTTCCAATAAAGATGAATCAGAAACCATTTGTACAGTAAATGTGACCGTTTAACTATAAGTACAAAGCCTGAAAACAGGTGGAAACGGCCGGAGCGAATCGGCCTCAAGCGCCTCTTCAGTAAAGCTCACAAATGACTAATTAACACCTAGTGGCTTGTTGTTTAACTGGCGCACAAACCAAAGTGCAAAAAAATACATTGCAGATGTTTCTTCTTCTTACGAGCCGGTCTTCTTTGTGAGTGGCGGCCCGAGACACTTTATGCTAAGCTACGTGTCTGCTGCTTGGGCTCCGTATTGAAAGTAGGGACAATGGAGAGAATGGAATCATCTGGCTCTTGGAAAGACAACAAGGCGCTTTACGTGTTACACAGAAACGTATTTACGTCAAGCAACTCACAGCGGGTGAAAAATGGCACCTAAAAAAAACGGTGAACACGAATCACAACCGCCACGACTGAAGCTACGCGGATTCCTGTACAGTTGAAGGAGTCCGGGCCCATCCGGCAGATGATAGAACACAAGCAGGTTGCAGCTGTTTCTAATGCCGGGGGGGAGACACAGCCCTGCTGCTTAATGTTGTTTTACCCCCATAGTGGTTAAATCCAACACATGTGCTTCAAACACACACACACACCTACCCCCCTTCTTCCATCGTTCTCCCTCCTCCACCACATCTGAGCAAACCCAAGGTCGCCATGTATAAAACTAAAAACCGCAGAACAACATGTGTAAACCGCTCCAGAGAGAATTTGTTAGCAAAACAAAGAAGATCTCATTCACTCTGCTCGCTCAGTTTGGAATTATTGAACGAAAGCTTTCTCAAGTCTCCCAATGAATATCTGCGTTCTACATTAAGGTGGGACACACTGTCCCGTCGCCCCATTGTAGAAGGGCCACGAGGGGATTACTGCATATCTTGGTTTTTAAGGGCATTATTACAGTAATTGGTCAAGCTGCTTACTATACCATTGCCTGGCCTTTGGTCACAGTCAATTCTTTTTATGGGCTTTATTGGTGCTAACCAAGGAAAATAAAAGTTCTGCAGTTACTGGAACTTGTAGCTAAGTACGACCGAGGGAATATCTGTGCGTCTGTACACGGGTTATTTTGGACTGTCCCATCAAGCGTTTTGTTTTTTTGGACTTTTATTAGCGGCCACTAAAAAAATAAGTCTCAGAAAACATGCGACATCCAGTCCTCTGCTCTAAATCTCCATCTTCCTTAAGAGCAAAGCATTATTTTAAATGATCTGACTGTTGTTTTCTCTATTAAGCAAACAGTGCATCCACATTATTCCTGCAGATCTTGTGTGTTCAATGGGCCCGACGTCTGGTCATTCCTTTCAATGATCTGCCGTCCGCGAGCGTCTTCATTTCCCTTGGGATCTCAGGGGAAATAACTCGTATGGGAACACAGAGTCTCAAACCATCAATGGAACGTGGTGATCTCACGACAGCCTCCTACAGCATATTTAGCTGCTTTACTTTAAGCTACAGGCCACTTTCGCATCGTCCCATCGGGGCTCATTTGATATATTTTATTTAAAGCCCTGAGAAAAAGGAAGACAAGTGTAGCACATTGCTGACATTATTGTTTTGTCCAAAGGAAAATGTTCTGTAAAATATCATGTGACCTGGAACCAGAAACTAGAATATTTATTAAAATCCAAATAATGGACTAACTAACTAAAATCCCCCATCCACTATTTTCCTACTTGTTGACACACACGTTTAACTGCAAATACAGATTTCCTGCGAAAAGAAAGCAAATTTAACAAGAAGGCCTGAAAACAGATCCTTCGCTTTTGTAGTGCCCTTCCAAAATTAGATTGAAAACTTTACCCGCAGCTCTTGTTATGGTGTTGGAAGACAGAGAAAGCAGTATTAAATCTAAATAAGGCAAGAGAAGGGAGTTTCGGGATTGTTCATAAAACGGAATCTGTCGTATTCTGGGGGAAAAGTATCTTTAAGCCTAGAGGCTCCAGGGCTGAGTGCTCCGGCACAGCTGGCAAATGTTTTCCGTGGAAGCTCGGGGCTTAATTACAGAGATGGTGAAAAGGTAAGGATCAAAGCCTCACTGTTCTTTTCCGCGGCATTCCTCTTTATCGGCCGATGCCAAAACAAGTCTGCCTCACTAGGCACCGTCCTTAAGCTGACCAGAAAGTGGCCGGATTTCCGGGAGGCCGGCTGGCAGAGAGAAGAGGGTGAGAAACATTCCTCCGGCCCCGCGTTATCACTTCCCCTTCCCTAATGGCAGAAATCGGGCAGCACGGCGGAAAGCCAATGCCCCTGTGCCACGTCGGGAAAAAAAAAAGAGCCCTGAGAGCACACAGGGAGGTTTCAGCTCAGCTATGCACTTCTCCCCTGGTAAATATTTCATCTGTGAAGCCGCCGGTCTCATCCGCTCTTTCCCTCTCGACTCTCCCATGTGAGGCTGTCCTCGTGCCAGGTCCCTGAGTGCTTTCCACGGAAGAACGGAGCAATGGAAAGTTGCCCTTCCATGATGGTACTTAAATCCTGAGCTCAAAAAAGGTGAAAGGGAACCAGATCATCCGTTGGCCGGAAACGTTCTATACTACAATTTGATGCGGTGTCACGCATGACACAGTGGGCGGGTCAGAACGACAGACATTTTTTTTCTCCATTATGCTGAATGATAAAATAATAATAATGGTTTCAAAAGGTAAAACTGAAACAGCTTTCCAGCATGTTGCGCTCTCCTATCCCTGGAAACGATCGTGCCAGCAGCTGTGTGGGACTCTGCATAGGCCTCTTGGTGCGTCCCAGAAAAATGCCAACAACCCCAGCATACCGACGGGCTCGCAATGAAAAGTCTACCTTTATAAGACACCGGGTGCAGCAGAGGATGGTGCAAGGTGAAAGGGAATACCACAGTTTGTAAAAGTTATCAACACTCATTTCTGAACACAAATGTCCAGGATATTCATCGAATAATGATGGCATTTATTCCCCTAAAAGCCCAGAGCTTTGAACCACATGGTGGTGTTACAGAAAAAGTCAGGGGATCACCTTAGTTTGGCGATAGTTGCAGAGATGTTTGGCTCAAAGTGGTAGTTCAGTAAAAAAAAAAAAAAGATCTAAAAGGCCATTTTCATAAAGTACGGTCAGCGAGTGGGTTTACTAGAAAATATCAAAGGTTTGGGCGGACGGGTCGAATAACAGAAACATTGTGTGCAATAGTTCACCCTCTCTCGCTCTCCCTCAAACATACACATAGCAGGACATAAAGTCGGATTGGCTTACTGAAGCATGTTTTGAAGATTGGGTAAAAAAAACTTTTTAAAAAACTGCCGTCACCCAATAAAGCACCAGTAATATTTCAAAAGGCCCCTTTGCTGTTGACCATTCATCCGATGGCAAATTATACAAAATGAAAAGGACTTCGACAAATGTAAAGCCACGCCACTGCCCACAAAAACAACCCCTTCATTGAGTCAGGTGCTGCTCAGAGACTCCCAGGACCCCCGCTTACCACATAGATCCTGGATGGCATCCAGGGAAGAAGACCAGGAATAGCGCTCTATTCCCAATTGAGCGAGCGAGGGTGGCAGCGCCTCCAGCTGGTACGCGCCGCGCTTCTTCCAGTAGAGGAACATTGCGACTTCTTCCGCCGGCTATTTGATGAATAAGGTATTCATTAAATCTTCAAAGCTTAACTCGTTCCGCCGTGTGCAACTCGCCGTTGACCCCGCCAAAAGTCATAACGATCTGAACTTCTGCAGACAATCAAAACACCCGTCTGATCGTCCATCTTTAGAACGTAAAATTGCCAGACTCGACTTTAAACTCTTCCAACTGCCAATACGTTCATGTTCATCCCCCACCTGCACAATTACCTCATCCAGCGCTAAGCCACAAAACACTTTGCTTTGAACCTTCGGTCCAAGTCTGATTCAAGGCTGGAATCCGAGGCTGGTCCAAGTCAGCCCATCTCCAGGGGCCCATATTATTGATGCTAAACCTGGAATAAGCCTAGAAGCTGCCATACAGGCGAGTTTTAAGTAGGTAACGGTCGTCTCCCTACATTAATGTCCAAGATCTCTTCCCGTTGACAATGTCGATCTTGTACTCATCCGCAAACTACCCACAGAAAGCCTCCCGGCGAGTGCTGCCAAGCACCAAATGCTGCTCTCCTTTAATCCATTCAAGAGGGCTCGACCAAATTAGAGCCAACACACTGCGAGAAAGTGTTGAACTCATCTCCGCAGACAAGTAATTTCAATTTCCTCTGCCGTCGCCCGAGCCTCGACTTCCTCCTCTGCGGCAGAGACTTTCAAACGGTTCAACACCGGAGTGCGAGGCCAGCTGCTCATGTTAAAGCCCTGTGTGGGATCTCCTGGCGATCGGGGGGCTTTCTGCCCACTCCATCAGACAAGTGTTGTATTCATGCAGAGGTGAGTTGCATGCTGGGGCGGGCAATCTGGGCCAATGGCTTCTGGACTGGGTGACACAAAGATCTCTTTTAAAAGCCGCCTACATCCCGAGTGGACTTTCTTTATAATTTGCGCAAACTGTAAAAGGCTGACATTTTTCTGCATTAATTAGTGCCCGCGCCCTTTATGCCTCCCGAAAGATTTATTCCCCTTTCGTGAATGCACCGGCTCTGTGGCGACTGAGCTCAGTTATTTCTGCGGAGGTACAATACACACATGGGCTTCTCAGAGCTGAGAAACACCAAATGACTAAAAGGAATCCCGTCATAACATTCTTATCTTGGACGAGGCCCTTCCTCCCCGACAATCTTAGAAATCAGGTTAAAACAACGTGCAGCTAAATATTGTTTAATGGAAGCATAATATCCCCAGTGTTGCCTGAAAGGCGATCCACTGCTATCGCATATCTAAAATGGGAGAAGAAATACTGTGAGAATGTGCTGCACCGGCCGGGGAAGGGAGCGACGTTGTCACACACAACAACCCACATGTCCAATTTTGGGATAAGAAATTAGAGGGTAGGATGGGAGCCGGTTTGCTGCGCAGCTCTGGGCTCTGCAGACATGTGGTAATAATCTGAAGCAGCTTTGAGCACGCGGCTTCCCTTTTAATGAAGAGAGCAGCCGTGCCGCATGAGAACTGGGCAGCGAATGAAAGGGCCAATTTCCACCTACTGCAGAAACAAAGAGGGAAGCAAAAGAGGGACCAGACAGCCTCGCTGTCATCATCGTACATCAGGCAGCCCAAATGTATTTGCCACTAAGTATGCCAAAAAAAGTCGTAATAGGTGAATTTAGGAAAGGACTCGGACTATTAAACACCAGCTCACATCAGGCCGTTGTGTGCGCTGTGTTTAGGGCCAGTCGAAAGTCCCAAGCAGGATGAAAGCGGCTACCTGTCCAGTTTGGAAATTTGATCTGTTCTAAAGGGGCACCTTCAAAAACAAAGAAAAAATCTGATTGTTGTAAAAAGCGGTTGAAATCAAAAACAGCAGAGGTTGAGATTGGGTCAGGCTCCTAAAAACATTGGATACTACATTTCCCATAATGCAACTCAATCTTTCCACAAGTAACCTCCCTCCCCCTTAAATAAACACCCTCATACTTTGAAACCGACACTGCCAGTCCATGAAGCCTTCCTGAGATGACGTCAACTGGGCGATACCAGGTTCAAGGCACGCATCTCTCAACAGTACCGTCCTGAACACGAGCTCTCTTTTATACAGACAAAAAAACATCCATATTCACTGTAGCTGTGTTTTCTAGCCTTATATAGATGGTGGGAGGAAGAGCTCAGCATGATGGCAGTATGATAATATTACACAAAGCCTCCTGTCCATTAAAAGGAAAGGTTCATCGTTTAGGGAAACAAACTCATGGTTTGATGAGAGACTCTCGTTAAAAATGAAGCAATAACGAGGAGATGATCGGCTGAGATTAACGACTGGAAAAGGGAGAAATGTCAAGCATGGCTAGACACCAGTATCACACTTGTCAACTCTTGGCCAGAAGTGAACGGTCATATTTATATACTATACCAAAAGGTCAGACGGTAAACACATTTCAAACAGAAAGAAAGTTGAGCTTTTTATTACAAGTGTTTCCCTTCACCGAGCATCCCCGTAACAAAAGCAAACATTGGCTCCATAACCTCCAATTTGTTTTAGTGTCAGACAGAAATAGCACGCCGAGTGCTAGGACCGAACGAACTGGCTCCTCGATAGGATCGCGCACTCACTAAAGTATTAATGGTGTGCTGAGAAGCGAGTGAGCGAGCTGGTGCGGTACGAGGAGACCGTAAACGAGCCCGTTGGAGAGTGTGAAGGGGGAAGAAAGAGTGTGAGGCAGAGTGTCGACGCGGGGAGTGCAGTCAGAGGTTTGTGGTGCACGCATGGAGGTGGTTCGGGTTTATATTTAGCACAAACAAAAGGTTATTAACCCTTCGCCAGCTAGACCAAGACTACGAGAAGTCTAATAACTTAATGTGAAAGATTCATTTCTGTTCCATCAAGGAGAAATTCTGAAGACGTCTTCCTGCCAAAACTGTGTCCGAGAGTAACAAGTACAGCCTGTGCGTGATGGTTTATTCATCTCCATAACATCTAGCAGGACTAAAGAAAGAGTGGAGAGCCATGATAGCCTCTCCGTGATGTCGTTTTATTCTTGATGCCAATGCCAGCACGGCTAACACGCTCACAATTGGCCAAGTTAAACATTTCAACCAGATGATGGAGGTAGATGAAAGTGAAGCGGTTATTAATAAGATTACAGTTCATATGTTCAAGTTGGGTCCTCGAGATATTTCAGTTGGGAAGAAAGGTTGTCGACCGATCCAGACGAAGGTTAAAAGTGTGCTACAACCGGTAAGATATCACACAAGATGCTATGTGGTACCCGAATAACAACGGATTTTCATCGTATTATCAACCGATTACATTCCAATATATCCTTTTGATGGTGACACTCTGACACTGATGGATCAACCCTGCGAAACTCACAGCTAGAGGAGGCGGGTGTGCGTGACCCTCCATGCCAAGTGAACTACTGTGAGTTATCATGTAATTTAACCGTCCCTCCTTACACCACCCGGGACAAACAACCACTCTTCAACTTGTTGAAATGAGTAATCCCATAATTTGAACAATCTGGTTGAAATTGCAGTGGGGGCTACTGTTGAGAAGCCAATAACAGAGTCAACGGGAATCAAAAACACTTATTCCCCAAAAGTACAGTTATTGCCATGTGCAGGGCCGCACACATAAACAGCCATTTAGCCAGGGTGGAGGTTATGAGCGTGGAAGGACACAATCAGGGATAAACATTTCTTAAGTTAAAGAAGGTGTGTGACCTCCACACAGCCCCTCTAATTATCTGCTGCACAGTACGAAGCGCAGCTCCCCGTTGGTCCCAGTCCAAGACGAAGGGGGGGACAAACAGACAAACACCGACCACTGACCAAACGAACATGCAAAGCAGAGCCCAACGGCTCGTTCTGTGTCCGACGATGTAAAAAACGGACGAGGACAGCGGATAGGCAAATGCCCCTCAAAGCAACAAACCCAAAGAAGCAGCGCCCAGTCTGAAGCTTGAACCCAAAGGACATGCTTATGTTGTGTCCCACGGTAACGAGGATAACGGCGGTACAAAGAGCCGACGAGCCAACAGCAGTACAAACAGCATTGTTTACCATCGGCCATTCCGGCAGCGAGCAGGTTCAATGACCTCAACGGTGGCTTAAAACTGCTGAACAGAAACTGCAGTGACGTGTCGGAGGCCACGGCACCTGTTCCACGTGCGTGCTGTGATAGTCACCTGCGCTTGTTGAGCAACATTAAAAGGAATAGTAACAATTTAGAGGATGTACGGGCCAACAGCGCCCGCATATAATCTAAAAAACAGCGGTTGATTATCCCCATACGCCTGAAGGGAAAAGACAAAAAAAGGCAGGGTAAAGTTCTGACCTGGAACAGGCAAAGCGAGGGAAGTCTTGAAGGGAGACCGTTTGCTTCTCTTTAATGCTACCCTGGACCACAAGTCCTGACTCAAACCGCAATGGAATCCTGTTGAAGTTTGAACGTTGGAACAGAATTCCATTCCACGCAAGCTCCATCTGCTGTCGAAGACAGTATGATACGAGTGGAAGCTCCAGGTTGTAGTTTTTCCAAATGCTGTTCAAAAATTGACTTTGCACTGCATCTTTAAAGGCGACCGTTGAAGCAAAGTCCTCTGTGCTGGGACAGGACTCCACCAATCATCTGATAAGCTGCGGAATGGTCCTTGCTATGGATTTGTCTTGTCGAGTGATGTAAATGTAGCACTGGATAAGGTCTCAATTGTCAACACTTTTGTATGTCTCAGTTAGTTGCACATTTTCATATCTTGGCAAAACCACGGATGAGAAAATTGGATAAGATTAAAATTGATAACTTCAACTTTTGTGAAATCATGGATTTAGGCCACAGCTCCATGTGGCCTTTCGAACAGCCATGTTAACATCAACAGTTCATGGAAAGAGTAGGGGCCGAGGTTTCATAGTCTGTGTTTTTGTTTTTCGGCTGGTGGACAGAGACCAGACAAGACATCTGGTCCCAGATTAGACGAGTGTGTTTAAGACAGGCTTATGACTCCGGTGGGCTGGAACTTTGAAGGCTTCCAGACTCAACCAATTACGGCTGCTAACTCCATGCCGACTTCTTACCGCACGAACCCACCAACTGCCAGCGATGCAATCATCGCAAATGTAAAGCTCCCCGCAGCTTAAAAAACCTGTAGCTTTCCCGTTTGTAGAACTGTCAGAGATTAGTGGACGAACTAAAAAAAATCAACCTGCAACTCTTTTGATCGCCCAGGTCCTTTTTTCAGAGGCAGATATTCCTGTTTTCAAAACGACGCGTTCCTACATTGGAAAACAATTGTTATTTGCAGGTCTTTAAAGGCCTTAATATTTAAAATGGCCCTTTGATGTGAATCATGAGAGGAACAGCGCTGATGGCAGTCCTGGGGGGGGGAACACAAATAGTGTCGGTTAAGAGATTTACAAGAGTTAACATCCATCATCTGAGTGTATGGAGAGCTGTACAGATCACAGAGGACTGTCCTCCTCTGATTAAAATGCCCTTGCCTCCAGCTGGGATAATTGCCCGGGTCACTTGCCAAATCCAGCTAGTAACTTTGATGACGACCAGGGGGGGGGGGAGAGAAGATAGATTCAACCAACCTGGTGCCTGAGGATCAAAGTCATGAAGACCAACTCGGTGCCAAGAGTTGTGTTAACGTTACACAATGCGTTTGTAACCGTACAGAGCACGCGGACA